GCAATCGCGATTTCAGAAAAGCGAGGTCGAGCTCGCGATTTCAGTAACGTTGCTGGCGACCGGAGATCACGGAAGCGCGTTTGCGATCAGGCCCAGATCGCAGGGCGTTTGTGCGGGATTATTTGCTTATTGGGCTCAGAAGCTGAGCAAACGCTGTCCCAAACAGGGCCCTAGTACGACTCTCTGCCGCGGCTTCGCTCCTAGGGCGGCTCCTATTTCTCCACTCCCTCCCGTGGTGCTTCTGCTCCTCCCTCTTGCTTCCTGCCACCGGTCGCCTCTCCCCGGTGACCTCAACAGCGACTCTGGTGCAGCGGCCTCCTTCCTTCAACAGTGATGATGCGGCGCACTGCAGCGGCTCCGACATCGATGGTGCAGCACAGCAGCAGCTCCGTCGGTGTGGCGCGATGACAGTGCGCTGCGACCTCGCGCGGTGTGCACCGACGGCAGTGTGGTGCGGCCTCGCACGACAGGCCAGGGCTGGCACGGGCACTGCAGGCCGCCGTGCTCGCAGGCATGGCACGGCACGGTTCAAGGGTCATAGTGCCGTGCCTGGCCACGACCTTGCATTGGCACGACAGCACTAGGCACGGCACGGCTAAGCTACCGTGCCGTATAGTGCCGTGTCTAGCCGTGTCGTGCCTGACCGTGCTTGTGCCCGTGCCCTGCCGTGCGGTTCGGCTGGACATGTATATATTGGAGACCTGGGTTCAGTCTTGTGGCTTGAAGTTTTAGGCGTATTTTTTTCAGGCTAGTTGTTTTTGTCGCTGGGACTACCAAGTTGCGAGGAGAGGATGTGTTGGAAGACGACATGGGTTCAAGTCTTGTGGCTTGAAATTTTAGGCGTATTTTTCCTAGGCGGTTGTTTTTGTCGCTGGGACTACCAAGTTGTGAGGAGCGGACGTGCTAGAAGACGGAGCTGACCTGCTGGAAGACGGAACACAGGCGAGCAGCCGTAAAAATTTGGATGGAAACCGAACTAGAAAAGGAATTCGAACCCGACTGGAAAAAAAAATTCGGAGGAGGCAGAAAAAAAAAGTACGGTAGAAATTTTACCTCATTATTAGGTATAGATATAGATATGGCATGAAGTGGTTATTCCAGTTGGGAAATCGGGACCGAAGGGGTTTACGAACCGGGATCCATTCTATACTAGTGGACAGACGAGAGAATTTTTTTACCACCCCCCCGTGGAACGCCTCCTGTGTGGGATCGAACTCGGGCCAGCAGGGTGCGACGCTGGACCGCCAATCACTTGGGCTAACGTCTGCTCGCTTGAGTTCATCCATGATATGTATGTAGACAAAGGGATTATTAGATGGATTCTCGGCTTCCCAACCTATTTGGGCAAACTTGAGATGCATGAGCAATACAGCATGGATTTTTTTTCTTCCATTCAAATGATGTCAGCAGTGCCCACCCTTGGAGACGCCTATCAGGTATTCGACCTGTTACCTTTCATGGCTTGTTCCAATTGCAATTTAGTTTGCATGAATCATGTGTAGCTGAGTTTAGAAGTTAGATTATACATTTCTGTTTTGTATACAACCTTAATCTCACCCTGGTTTGAGTATTGATGTTGACACCAATTTGGTGATGAGGATGATGAACCAAGAAGTATGTTAACTGCACATGAACTAAATATCATCTCTACAGGAAATAGTTCTAATTGCTAATATAGATCTTTCGTAAAAGGGTTTTTGATTGGTGCCATTACAATTTTGCAAGTTTAGAGAAATAACATTATTATTCGCCTATTTAGAAACATGCCATTATAATTCTTCTGCAACTAATCGTGTCATTTTCTATATATTCGATAGCGTCGGGCCCACGTGCAAGTGACTATTCTCGTATGTCCCAAAATAACTCTATTGCTTCTCTCCCTCTACTCGCTGATATGTGGGCCCCCACACGTCATCGTGTGAGAGGCTCGTTTTTTGTTTAAGGAAGTTTCGCATAGTTATGCGTGAGAAATCGTTTTCTTGCGGGTAGTAGCACCATGAAACTTTTTTTTCTTCACGGAAGAGAAACCGACGAAGAACCTGTCATTTTAACTATTCATGAACGCAAAATAGAAACACTGTTTTACGCTCCACCAGGGTAAGACCGATGAACAAACTTGCAGCTTCACCAGCGGTAAGACCGATGAGCAACTTTCAGCATAGATGAGGTCGTGAAGATGGGGCATGTTCTATCAGCACAACAATGTGATGCTTCCGGTCATTCTATTATTTCTGAAGCAGCTTATCAGCCATGATACAGTATTTTTCTCTCCCAACAAATCAGCCGTATAAATCAGCACAACCGACTTATAGACCAGCCGAACAAGGTTGCACTCAGGCAATTTGTGACATCTTGCTCGTTCTGCGTACGGAATAATAATGATGATAACAAAAGGAATAACCACCATTGTGCCCTCGTCACTTGCAAACGCTAATCATTTTTTCCCGAATGAGTAATTTACAAAAAAAATACGAAAAAAAAGCAAGAAACACTGAAAATGTTACTGGTCATATCCTGGTATGATAAGCTCGATGGTAGCATTACCAGCAAGGACACAAGGGATGTGATGTCATCCCGAGGAATAGATATCATAGCCTGCTTCGCAGTTCATACAAAAGCTCTCTCGTGTTTGATAAAACACGCTGCTTAGCACAAATATTAAAACTCTCAATCAGCCTGTTCACTTGTTGGTTTCAGCCAGCCCAAACCAGCCAGCCAATAGTGTTTTCCTCTCAAAAAAACCAGCACCAGCCAGCCCAAACCAGCACCAGCACTAACCAGCGAACAGGCCCAATGTTTGCTTGATTCTTGTACAAGACCACTCTGTGTCCGGTAGGAGATTACAGGTACTTCAATGATAGTGCTACAATAGTTTGGTTTCCTCTTGTCTCAGTTGTTTCCTCATCAAATACTTCAATATTTTCTGCGTCCCTAGATCATATCATAAAAGGAAAAAAAATAGTTTGGTTTCCTCTTGTCTCAGTTGTTTCCTTATCAAATACTTCAATATTTTCTGCGTCCCTGATCATATCATAAAAGGGAAAAAAATGTCAATATTCAGCTAGTGTGACAATAGATGAAAGCTAGCCCAACAATGCAGCTAATGCATACTTAATAAATCCTGAAGTTCAGGTTTGTAATAATATAACATATAATAAGCATCGCAAGATAAAAAAAACAGGGACATCCAGTATATTAAATAACAAAACAGTGAACACAGGACATCCTGTATGACAAAAAAATCATAAAATCATCACAAACTAATGTACCTACAGTTGATAAAAGTCATCGTGACGCAGTTTCCCGCACACTTGAGTCTGTGCTGGTTAGTTGTTTATCCATGTTCAGCTCTGTGCCCAGAAAAATGGCACATGCACTCCTAGCAGTTAGTGTCCATTTCCAAGCTACTAACATTCCTGAAATCAGATCACTTGGCAAATTTCAAAAGATGTTGCCTTGGTGCTATAAGATCAAATTGTATTGCAAATTTTGTTAAGCCAAACCTTCATTACACACAGCAGCAACTTTTATATGGATTCAGCCATCAAGGAGACAATAGATCCAAATTTCTTGGCAGAAAGTCTAGAGCGTTGAACCAGAGTAACAAAAATCTACCAGCAGAGGAAAGAATATAAATCTGTTTGGAGCTCATACATGAAGTAACTAAATAAAGTTAATTATTAAAACAAGGAATTCCTTAAAACAATCCCAGCAGGTGAGCTCAGTAGGGAATAAAGGGAAGACCAATGGTGTCTGAAGCCACAGAGACTACTGGGCTGGTGGCAATAATGTGATTCAGTACATAATCACACTCTAGCTCACAAAAAGGAGGCAATGTCATCTGGTTGAGGACGATAAGGTGCCTAATGCAATAGAGGATCAAAGCTGTTTAGCACTGGTAAGGCCACCACCAATGGGGTCAGTTATTGAGATCATTTAGTCAAAGTTGATGGGATTGACAACCAATTATAAGGCAAAAATAAAAGTTAGGAATGGTAATTCCAATGATGGAGGGATCCAAACAACCGTCGTCCAGGAGTTTTGATTACAACTTCCACAACACTAGACCAGAGACGCTGAGCACCCGGAATCACTCTCTATAATAATGTTTTCCTTCAAAAGAAAAACAAAAAGGGCAGGCGATTTGTGCCAAGGTCAAATCTTCCACCGATCCACCTCATCGCCCCTGCCCCCTTCTTCACTAGTTATGATTATTCCAAAATACCAATTATCACCACATTGATCCGATAGAGTATAACATTTCATAATGAAGTAAAGGATTTTGAACAGCAAGCGCAAAATAAAGTGGTTCCTTTGAATCAACCATTAAATTATCAACTATGATGCACAATCAATTGTTGCAGTGACCAATCACTGCTATGCGAAAGGTTTTGTACAAAATGGGTAGCTAATCAGACAACCTGAAGCTATCTAATTTACTCATCATAAAATGCTGTCAAATGTAACCCCAATGGATTTTGTAAAGTCGACAACCAGCCCTAGAAAAAAAAAAAAGCATAGCATGTACATAGTTTTGTTTAGGAGGCCAGTGCAGGATTTATGCAGAATATTTTGTCATAATGCCTGATTCAACTAGCAATTCTAATCCGTTGCTAGTGTTAAAAACAAGTGCAGAGTAAGGAATCGCAGACCACCAGAATACGGTGCTGCATGCTAGAACTTTGAATTGGCTTAAATCAAAAGCTAGATTAAGTGCAGTCTAATAACCTTAGGCTAACTGAAATGTACAAATAGACTCGAATGCTTATCTATCAAAACAGAACCCAATCCATGTCAGTTCACTAGCTGGCTTGCTGTGGCAAAAATGCGGAAGATTTAATCTAGTGGAAGCAGCAGGAATATAAATGATTGGTACATAGCCCAAAGAAGTAAATGAGAGAAACACCCGGATGCTTACATGGACAGTGCAGCAACCACAGGCATGTCAGAATCCAGCACACGAGATCGGCCTTTGGATTTGTAGGCATGTCCCTGTTCCTTCACTTGTACGGGACTTGCAGGTTCTTAGCATCTGTGCCCGCAGATTGACATGCGTTCAAGATAGCGTCAATGTTCTCAAACTGAAAGGCGCTCAAGATAACCTGGTCTTCCTTCGGGCAGTTGGGTTTTCCGCGACTTCGAAGAGAGGATCCCAGCATGATCGAACAGAAACTTCCCTTTCCCAAGGGGCAGAAGAGTGGCTTGAAGATCCTGCCCTCTGATGCCTTCACTGGGAACTCTTGGATTGATAATGAGGGAGACGGCATCGGGAACTCTTTGATCAACAATGAGGGAGGCGACATGGGGGTGGACGAGGATGCCTCCTTGATAGAGATGTGGAACAGCGAGGCAGACACAGCTGTGGCACCATTGTTCTCCTTCGATATGGGGCAGGCGACGAAGAGGTTGCCGCCACCGCCAAGGGGCATTGCCTGGCCAGCAAACGGCAGATTTTCAGCGTGGACCTTCTCCCACGTCTTGTTCACCACATGAAAAGCATAGGTACCCAAAACAATCGGTTCTTCTTGTTGTGCTTGTTGTGCAGAAACGCCAGAAAGCAGGATGTGGGAGGAGCCCACGGCAGCATAGGACGTGACTGAAATCTCCGGAGGATTACGAAACTGATAGGGGTTCAGTCATGAAGGGAAGAAGGGCGGCGGCAGCAGCTCACACCAGTAGGTCCGACCCACGCCGCCGCCGATGGGGACCTCGTTGTTGAAGCTGAGAGATTGGAACCACGGCTCGAAATCGATGTCGGGCACGGGCACCACCCGAGGTCGGAGCGAGAGGGCGTACACCTCGCCGGCGAGGGAGAGGAGGACGGGGTCGCTGTTGGGGTGCAGGAACCGCGGGCCCTGGAACATCTTGAGCGTGCTCGGGTCGAAGATGATGGTCCCCGCTCGTAGCCCGCCCCCAACGCCGACGATCCAGGAGCCGTGCTTCGAGTGTACGGAGACGAAGGACATGCCGCGCGCTGTGTTGGGTATCCCGGCCACGGTGTGGACCCGCGGCGGCTTGGTCCCACCGGCGGCGGCGGCGGCGTCGACCTTGAAAACGGTGTAGGCCGTCTTCTCCCCCTCGTGCTCCGCCACGAGGTAGACCGTCTTGGCGAAGTCGGATGTCGACGTGTCGCCCGGATTTGCTGCCGAGTCGTCCTGCGATTCCACCTTGCCATCTCCATGGCTCTTCTTCCTCTTGGGCGCCATCTTCGTCTCGCTCGAGGAAAGGGGGAAATTGGGGGCGAGGGTTTGGTCTGGTACTCTCTCTCCACGCGGGAAGGGAGAAGGTGGGCGGCGGCCGAAGTTGAGCCCTTCCGCTTCCGACGACGCCCTAGTCTCCGGTCTGGCTGGGCCTTCTTTTTTTTTGAAGAAGAGGGCCTGGATGGGCCTATTTGCGTAGTGGCACATCGTGTTGGGCCATATCGAGCCCAGATTAACACATTTCTAATAGGACACTAACCAAGTCCTCAACTACCACTGCCTGTGACACAAATGGAGCTTTGCACGGTTTAAAAAAAAGAGAGCTTTGCACAGTTCAAGATTTCGTGTACAGCGTGTAGTGTACCTAACATACAGTGTAATAGAGACATGACTATGCAACGATCGTAACAAAAGTACATATTTTTGTTGGCACCCCATGGAATTATTTCATTACTAGCTATATATTGCTCATTTCGTCTGCAGCAAAAACTTGTGCCGTTCTTTATAACCGCCTTTTAATTTAGCTGTTGATGGCGGCTGGTAAGGTAAAAATGAAGGTTTTATGCTGTTGAAGAGATTGCATTAGCACTTGAGGAAGAAGTATCTGAAATACAAAACTGTTGTTAAGCACGTGTCCCATTGACAATAGCAAAAATGTATACCACCATCCATGAACTAAATTCCAAACGTATAACTCCAATGCATACTAGTCAAGTTCCAAGATCTAGGATATGAGGATGATTTCAAGACCCACCTTATATTTTTCAACAAATTGTGACTTCTACAAAATTACTAATCAGCCTGTTCGGACACACTTCTTGCAGCGCGAGTATAATGCTTCTTACAAAGGCTCTTCACTAATTAGCTTTGCAGCAGTAATGTTCATATCTCTCATGTCAAAATGAGCTGGGAGCCAGGAGAAGCCACGATTTGTGACTCCTCCAGCTCCAGGTTCTTTGATACGATACAAGAACCATGACGAGGTTGCTCTGTGTGTGCATGACTTTGCTTTGGTTCATATCTCTCACATGCACATATCCGAGATCAGATCAGATCCAAATAATAAATTTGCAAGCAATGCCAAAAAGTTCTTAGTATCCAAGATACTACTTTGGATAGATGCATTAGTGGAAGAATGGAGCTTAAGCATGATTCATGATTGCATGTGAATATTCTGCAAGAAGAACCAACAAACATCATAAAAGTAATTAAGCCAGATCAAAATTCAAATCACACTTTTTTTGAACACACAGGAGAGCTGGTGGCAAGTTACAATTTGTGGAAGCGCTTTCTATGTGGATTCCTTCTTGGAAAGAAGTTAATGGGTTCAGTTAGTAGAAGCTTCAAAACAAACTCTGCAGTCAATTAAGAGTAACCACAAGGTTGTTGAAATCGGTACAGTTGCAAACTTCAATTACTTGCAGTTGGTTCTGAACTTCCTCCATAGATTTTATAGCTGCTTAGGGTAACTCTGACATCATCGGCAGCTATAGTGTTTTCTAGAGAACAACACATTGTTTGCTCAATTCCATTTACCCTTATCAGAACAAGCCCACCAGGAGTACATGGAACTCCAGGATTTAAGGAACATTCGAAGGACACATGGCAGATGGCACTATATATGGGGAACTAGCACATACACGTCTTCTAAAGTCTACAACTTCCCGTACAAGAATGTGTCCCCTCCTGCTCCCTTCATGTGGATTTGGAAGTCCAAATGTTGCAACAAACTAAGAGTTTTCTCCTGGCTCTTAATGATGGATAGACTCAACACTAGGAACATTCTTATGAGGAAAAAGCACAAGCTGGAAGGCAACAACTACATTTATGTCCTTTGCAATATGAATGTTGAAGAAACGGCCTTTCACCTCTTCTTCACTTGTCCTTTCAGCCAGCACTGTTGGCAGCACCTTGGCATTCAGTGGAATCTTACGACAGACTTCTTTCAAATGATGATACAAGCCAAACAAGCTTTTCCATATCCTTTCTTCATGGAAGTGTTCATTATCTTTGCATGGTAAATCTGAAAGCAGCGCAATAACTCCATTTTTAACAGAGGACCTCCATCCTTCTCTTCCTGGAGAAGGTCTCTCAAAGATGAAGCTCAACTACAAGCGTATAGGATTTCTGAAAACAAGCAATCTGTTTTTCTCTCCTGGGTTGATTCCTGTGTATAGTGGTTCTTTGCTTTTCTTCCTTTTTTAGCCTTGCTCAGGTTTTAATGGAGGTTTCTTTTTGTTTTGTGCAGTGGTTGTTTTTGTGTCTTAATAAAATCTAACAGTGGGGGCCTCCCCTGCTGTTTTTCCTGGTTCAAAAAAAAGCATGGAATATAATTTCATTATGGACAGCTTGCTCTACAAAAACTTCACATTATCACATCTATTAGCTTTTATACTTCCACAATATGATACAAGCTGAGACCAACTCCTCTGCACCATTCATTCACATGTATGGAACAACACCATCAAAATGGGAGTAGAGATCATGTACAATACCATAAATTCTGTAATACTAACATTTTCTTTTTCATGACTAAATCTGTAACTGTATTAATAGAACAACCACTGATTGGTATGACCATTAAGAAGCAATAGAGTGCTGAGTTATCGACTTATTTGAACTTTGAAGGCATCAAATAATTGAGCAGTTATTCAAGCCAAAAGAAAGGGTGCTCCAGAAAGTAGCTCCAACTACAAAGCCTTTGAAGTCACAGGGTCAAGGAGAATCTCCTTTCAGAAGAATTCCTCCGGCCAGTTATATTCTCTTTCTTTGCATGACGCTGATAGAAAATGTTAGGTGACATACCAAAGAATCGCCTAGATTAATGCAATTTCCTAGAATTGACAGATGAAACACTAAAACGTCTTTGCACTAGTCAACAGTACAAGTCATGTACAGTTGCGTCCATACATCAAGTCAAAACAGCTAGCAGAATCTGATCAATTTCACCAGCATGTCTTGTCCCCTCTGCTTCTAAAACGTGTCACTTTTCCCAAGATCATCTTTATATTCCAGTATTGTTCATTATTCATCAATCACCAAAACTTGCTTCTATCTTCTCCAGAAACTATTCATTCATGAGATGCCCTAACCATTAGTAGCTTTTTTGAGATATCCCCATGTAGCTCTGTGCTACTGAAATTGCAAAATTAATTTTCCATGTGCTTCTCTTACATCATCATGGGGCATACAATAAGAATGTTTGATTTAGCAGCACCCAAGTTAGTGAGAATTGTTCCAGTAATGTTTGGTTCAGTAACATTACTCATGATATCCGAGTAATGTTTGGTTCAGTAGCATTCAAGTCAGTAATTCATGATACGGTAGGGCAGGTGGGAATGTGGGATCATTGCATGTATGTAAACAGAGGCTCAAAAAGATCAATTCCACTTCCTTAAAAAAAATGCAGACAGCCACTACTCCATGAGTTGCTTTTGTGTTCACTCCTATGTATCATCTGTTGCACGCCCATCTTTAAGATCACGTAGATACTGAACACGATGATCGTTGATTCCTTTGATGAGAAACCATTTGATCATGGTAGTGCATGTTACCTTGTCTGGTTTGCATCTGTGCTCCTTCATCAAATCAAGAACATCCCACATCTCTGCCAAGCACCCCACCCTCCCATATGCATCCACCAAACAGTTGAAGAACACAATATCCAATGTTATGTCAGAATTCTCAACATTTTTCAACACTGTCTTTATTTTCTTAACTTCCCCAGCTCTTCCATATGCTCTAACCACTGAACAGAGTGTAACACAATTGGGCTTTATACGCTCAGATTTCATTAGCCTAAATATGTATTCCATCTGCTCAAGGTCTCCGGCCCTTCCAAATGCATCAGTCACTACATTGTAAGTAACTATTGTCCAAGAATAGTAATACTTCTGCATGTACTCCATCACAGCTCCCATCTTCTCATACATTTTGGCTTTACCATAGGAATCGAGTAAGATATTGTAGGTCTTAATGTTTGGGACAATACCAGAGGCCTGGAACTTCTCATAGCAGCTTTCCATTGTCTCAAGCTGACCACTACTGCCAAAGGCTCTGAGAGTAGAATTCATTGTCCACACATCAGGCTTGCAATTTTGTGACAACATCTTCAGAAGAGTTGATTCCATCTCAGCAAACCTTTAAAATAAAATAGCATTAGCTGAGCTCTATTTCATAGAACCCAATTCAGGAATAACTGGATATAATGATAGATTTGGACGGCTAAACAAATGCAACCAAGGGCACTTCTCAAAATTCAGGGTTCAGCTGTATTATCAGTGCATCTACTAGAAAGGAGGAACTGCAGTAACTTCTTACCAAAAAAAGATTTTTTTTCTTTTAACAACAATCAGGCTCATTATCAAGAACAGAGTACAAGAAAATTTTCAGAATGCTTTGGTAAAAAAAAATGAATGAGCATTTCATAAACTACATTCCATGGAACCTAATCATGAATAACTAAAGATTTGGGTGACTACAAAATTCAATGAATGGTAAAACTATTTCAAACTCTGAGATGGTAACTTGTTAGCTAGGTTTCAGGTAAACATGGTGCATCCCTTTAGAGCTAGTAGAATTTTAAGACAGCATTTATTACCAAATATAACCTTGATTGCTTCTGCTGGGTTTCAACTCTAGCCTACCCCAACTTGTTTGGGACTTAAAGGCTTTGTTGTTGTTGTTGTATTTATTACCAAATATATGATCAATCATTACTGGATTACATAAGCATAGGTTCTTGCGGTCAGTTACCTTCCTGCTTTCCCATAGGCATCGATCAATGTATTATAGGTGACAGTGTTAGGCCGGATGCCCGCCCGTGCCATATCAGTCAGCAAACTCTTCACCTTCTCAAAATCATAAGCGTGTAAGCATGACTTGATGAGAATCGAGTACGTCTGCACATCAGGCTGGCAACCTGGGGTGTCCTTCATCCGATCAAATAGGTCGAATGCCTCACGGAATCGGCGCTCCTGCTATACGCGGAGACTAGGGCGGTGTAGGACTCGAGGTTGGGCGCACAACCCTCATCGATCATCGCCTGGAAGAGCTCGTGCGCCTTCTCCGGCTGCTTGCACTTGCCGAGCATGGTTATAAGTTTGATGTAGATGCCGATGTAAGGCCTGTACCACACCTGGTCCCGCATTAGCTCGAACACCTGCGCGGCAGTGGACGCGGCAGGATTAAGCGTCGTTTCATCCGGATAAGAAGTTGTGGTGCGACTGCAATGGAGAGGTGGTTTGGGGGGTCGAAGGGAGCAGGACCTTGAGGGCGGAGTCCCATCGGAGGGGGGGAATTTTACATATTTACCATTATTAAGATCGTCACTCATCCGTTTCTCATCCTTACGATGGCTCTTACAGATTTACCATCTTTAAAAATCGTGCGTCTTCGTTTTGCCACATTTGCTCGTCTGCACGCACGGCGGCGGCGACGTGACACGATGGCGCATAGTCGCCAGGGCGCAAAGAAATGACCTGCTCACCCACGCTATTTGGAAGAAGGAAAACGGCCAGCCCGTCGCTCGCTTCGCCCATTTTCGCGGCGGCAACGCCGACGCCCGACGCGTTCTCTTCTTCCCCGTGAACACCGTCACCTTTGCTTCTTCTCGGTCCCCTTCTTCTTCTAGCTCTTGCTCGCCGCCGCCCGCCACGCCGCTCCCCTCCGGCCGTCCACGAGCCACGGTCGCCATTCTTTGCTTTCATGACGGATCGAAGGTACGTGGCCCTGCCGCCCCTTTTGCACACCCACATTCCACGGCATTTAGGGTTAGGGTTCACGGGTGTGCGCATGGCGGGCAGCCCGTCCTGCGTCCATAGCGCCCGCGTCCTCGTTCATGGGACTTACGGGGGCGGTCGTATTCAGCCACAGACGTGAGTCGTCCTTTGACGCGGCAATGACAAAGCCCGCAATCCTGTTTGTGGCCGCTGCCCGCATAGAAACGAGAAGCTAGTGATTGGTTGTGTACGTCCGTGTTCATTTTTTTAATTTACTTCACAAATTTTTCTAGTGATCCGTACATTAGCTAAAAATATACGTAAATTACAGAAAATACTATGTATCATTAGGAATATGTGTCTGATTTTTTTTATATTTTCCCCCCATTCATGAGCTATCAGAAAAAATGCAAGTTAGCATCTATCAACATACATACAGATAAAAAATCATATGCTGATGGTTGCTATCACTGCCTCGCCATAAGCTTTGAACAAGTCTGAGCTGGCTGCTGCTTTTCATCCTCCCATATTTTGGTTCTGGCTCCGCCACTAATGGTTGCTCACTTTATCTCCATCCATCTTTTTGCTTCGTAGGATTCTGATGTAGTAGGTGGCATCAATCAATCGAGGTCACAATGGCAAGCAGTGATTGCCCGTCTTGGTAAGTGTTACCAACTTAAGCTGTGCAGTGGGTTGGATATTCTTTGACTCTGTATTTCGTTCATTGTGGTTGATTATGCCAGGATCGATCATGGCTCTGCATTTAGACTAGTTGTTAAAGTCGCTAAATATGTTGCTAATGGTGAGTATGGCCTAGTCGAGATGGCAGAACAGCAACATGACTTATGGTTTGACAGGAACAGTGAGTATACTCTGGCTTCGTTTCATGAGGATTTAGCCACTAGGATTATATGGGGGCCATCTCAAACACTTTCAGTGTGGGTTCTTGACCAAGATACTGGGTCTGAGTGGAAGATTAGGAGGGATGAACATTTGCAGCAGATGGTTAAGGACAGATGGGATGAGAGGATGGCTTTCATTGCAGTAGATGTTGTGAGCAAAGGTGGGTGTACAGACAAAGGTAGTTCTGCAGCAAGATGTGTCTCTAGTGTCACCGATGGGTCTCATGTTGGACCAAGTCATGTGCCTGATGATGATTTGAGGGGTGTGGTGATACTTGCGCAGATCCCCACCAAAGACCCCCACTCTCTCTTGAACAGACCTATAGCAGTTGATTGGAATACACTAACCATACCAGAGAATCCCGATGATGATGGCTTAGCTACACAGCTTGTTGATGAGGAACATGTATATGAGGCAATGGGATTCAAGGAAGTAGAGGCACAAGAAGCCGGCAGAAAAGAGGTTCCCATTCCAGTTATCACAGCAGAGATGCAAGCAGATATGAATGAAGCAGCTGTCAATGTTGATGACACAATTGATGCAGAGCCAATGTATGAATGGGATAGGGACAATCCAGATATGAGTGTTGGCACATGCTATCCCAAAGATGGATGAGTTTAGGCTAGGCTGTCAAAAGATGCTATAAGGAAGGAGTTTGAGCTTGATACTGAGCACTCAGACAAAGAAAGGTTCAGGGGTAAATGTGCTGCTCTAGGCTGTCCATGGTTTATTAGAGCTAGAACCCAACACGATGACAGTGTCAGGGTATAAATTCTAAATTATTTATGAACCTGTTGTTTTTTGTTTTATAACTGTTACTTTCTGCATTTTACTCCTTTGTTTGTGTTTACTGCCTTTGTTCTGATGTTTTGTTCTGTTTGCAAAATGCAGATACAAATCAATAAGGGGGTCCATAAATGTCCATCTACAAAAAGGGTTGTGAACAAGATGGCATCTATAAGCTGGGTGACAGAGAGAGCAATTCCATTGCTAAAGAATAAGCCATCAATGGGGGCTACAGAAGTAAAAAAGGAGTTGAAGTACAAATATGGCATTGAAATCCCCTACCAGACAGTGTACAATGGGACAAAGAGAGCATCAGACAAGCTATTTGGTAAGTGGAGTGATTCTTTCGATTGGTTGTATAGATTCAAGGCAGAGATAGAATTGAGATCACCTGGTACTGTGGTGGAGATAGACACTATCACTGATGAGGATGGTAAAGTTAGGTTTAGCAGATTTTTCTGTGCATTCAAAGCTAGTATAGATGGATTTGTGAATGGCTGCAGGCCTTATATCAGTGTAGACTCGACAGCTCTGAATGGCTTGTGGAATGGCCACATGCCTGCAGCACTAGCATTAGATGGCCACAACTGGATGTTTCCTGTGGCCTTTGGTTTTTTTGACTCTGAGACAAAGGATAACTGGGTCTGGTTTATGGAACAACTTAGAAAATCCATAGGACCCATGGAAAAGCTTGCTATCTGCACTGATGCATGCAAGGGGTTAGAGTCAGCAGTTAAAATAGTGTTTCCACAGGCTGAGATGAGAGAATGTTTTAGGCACCTAATGGAAAACATGAAGAAGTACTACAGTGGTGATGTGTATGGGAAGAATATGTGGCCTGCAGCAAGAGCTTATTCAGCACACAAGTTCAAGTTCTTTTTTGACAAGGTCTTGGCAGCCAGTCCAGATGTGCAGAAATGGCTGACAGAGCACCATCCCTTTCTGTGGGCAAGAAGTAAATTTTGTGATGACATCAAATGTGACTACATCAACAACAATTTAGCAGAATCTTGGAATGCTTGGATCAAAGAACACAAGGACTTGCCTGTGCATATGATGGCTGATGCTATTAGAGAGAAGATCATGGTTTTGTTTGCCAAAAGGAGAAAGATTTCTACAGCCTTGTCTCCCCGGTATATTACAGTCATCATCCATCAACTTAATGCGAGATCAAGAGGTCTAGGACACTTGAACATTTCCAGTGGCCACCCTAATCAAGCTGAGGTTACAGAGGTCTACAAGGATGAAGAAGTTCAAAGACATGTTGTGTATTTATCTCAGAAAATATGCACATGTAGACAATGTGGCGAATAATCATAACCATGTCCACATGCCTTGGTTTGTGATTACCAAATGAGGCAACCTTGACATGGGAGCATTTGTACACCACTACTACTCAATTGCAAAAGTTTCAGGCGACATATGCAGGCATAGTTCCTAACATAACCGAGTAGGAATCAAAGGCTTGAGGTGGACAAGGGCTTCAAGTCAGACCCTCCAAAGATAGAAAAAGAGAGAAGCGGTGGGTGAGGAAGAATAGGATTAAATCAAAGGGAGGCGGTGGAAAAGCTACTAGGCAAGTCAAGTGCCCTAACCGCAATGAGTATGGTCATAGGGGTGGTAGCTGAAATGTTCCCTCACCGGAACCAAGAAAAGGTGATTTCTTAACTCATGTATTTAATTTGTTTACTAGCTGTTGTAATTACTAACTTGTTTTGTTATTGTTGCGGAAAAGAACCAAAAAGAGTAATGTTCAAAGTTGGGAGGAAGAAAGCAAATAAAGGTGATCTTTGGTGATGAAGCGAGACACTCCAAGAACCGTAAGAGCACTAGCAAGGGAAGCTACAAAGAAAAGCAAGGAGGGATGTTGAAGAAGCTAAACTCAAGGTCATGGCTGACAAGACAAGCAAGCAGAAGGCGATGCTAGGGAAGAAATTGAGGCTACAAGAAATGAGTTATCTGCAACTCATGCACGAAGATGTCCTGGAAGCCTTGGCTTTAGAAGTTGATGTCCCGTAAACTACAAAAGCTAGGAGGTATGCTATTGAGTCTACAACTAGGAGTTCATGTAAACAACATTTGTACCATGACTTTTATTGTTTTGAACAGAACCTATTCTCGAAGATGAACGCAAATTGAGCTCATCAAGAAAATGACACCTAGGAAGAAGTTGACAAAGAAAGTGAGGAAGAACTAAGGATGAACTGGGCACTTAAGATGAACCGGAACATTGCTTTTATTTTGCTAAGAGCTTGAACTCTTGATAATATGTGTAATTGGCCAGAACTTTTATTTTGCATGGCCTTCTATTGTAATCAAATGGGCATAACTATCAACATGCTGTCGTGTGTAATGGGCAAAGGCCAAAAACTCTATATGTATGGCCACAATGTGCCCCTATTTGGTTGTCAGAAACAAGTACTTTATGTAGTGATCTTAATTTTTCCATAGCTGATGTGCCTATCTTATTTGGTTGTCATATGTGATACTATGTAATGTGCCTCTATTACTTTGCATGGACACAATGTGCCTCTCTTATTTTAGATGGCCACAATTTGTCTCTCTTAATTAGCATGGCCAGAATGTTCTTATTTTTTTTATTGCCATATGATTCATTCAAACACAGACAACATGACAGTTCTAGGCCTGGGGGAAACATAATGGGCGAGCGAGCGCCTGGGCCGGCCAGTTTTCCTGTCTTTGAGCGGGCGAGCAAATGGGCAGGGGCAGCCAAGTCTTTTTGCAGGGCACTGCTGACCGTGTCATGTCGCCGTGGCGTGCCAGACGAGCAAATATGGCAAAACGAAGACGCACGATTTTTAAAGATGGTAAATCTGTAAGAGCCATCGTAAGGATGAGAAACGGATGAGTGACGATCTTAATAATGGTAAATATGTAAAATTCCCATCGGAGGGCGGCGACGCGGTCGTGCAGGGCCTCAAGGACGGTGCCAGGGAGGAGGCGGCGCGTGCCCTTGCCGGGCTTGCGCTTGTCGAGGACCGCTTTGGTGGCCTCGCGCCGGAGGATGACGGACAGCGCCTTCCGGGACGCGATCTTCCCGTTCACCTCCTCCTTCCGCCGCCTCTCCGCTTCCTCCTCGTCCTCCACCTCCGCCTCCTTCCCTCTCCGCGCCCTCCCCTCCGCGCCGGCCGCTGTCCACGCGCGCGCCGGCTCGCGGGCCGCGGAGACTGTCGGTACGAGCGCCCGGTTACGGCGCGCGGAGCGGACCGCCATGGAGGAGGGCGCGGTCACTGGCCCAACTGCCATTGGCGAGCTCGAAATTGGA